AGTTAAACCTTTCTAATTTAAGTTCCCCTTAGTTCAAGATGTGGCAAATACTATAACATCCCAATTTAAATTTTAATAGTTAATTTAGGTTAATAGAAATTTTAAAAAAATAATATTCAGAGGTAAGAAAATTAGTAAGAGATGATTATTAAATCTAACTCAGGATATAATTCTAAAAAAATTAAAAAAAAATAATTAAAAAATAAAAAAATATTATTAAATTATGATTATAATAAAAAAAGGGAAAGGTATTAAAAAAAAGGGGGGAAGAAGAAGAAGAACAAAATTGCTTTCGGCCGCCCCACAACAATCATTATGTATATATAATAATAAAAAAAAAGAAGAGAGAGAGAAAAGAAGAATAATAAAAAAATATGTGGGACCCACTGAATTTTTATAAAAACTCACTGTTCCTTCGTTTCTTCATTCATTCCTTCGTGCGTGCTGAGACAGAGAGAACACGAGTCGCCGGTGCGAAATCTTTAAATTTTTAAGGTAAGAGTTTTTAATAGGATATTTAGGGTGTGATTTTAAGCTTTTCAAGACTAGTAAGTGTTCTAAAATTTTTCTTAGTCATCCTTCTTCTTTGATTTCTGAGTTTGTAGTGGTAGAAAATTTAAGATCCGGAAGAGGGATGAATTTATGTTAAATAAATATGGTTTTTTAGGTTGTCAGTAGTATAATAAATATTCTAGAATATAAATTTATTGATGATCTTTGAATCTGTGACTTATGGATCAAATTCTAAACTAGATCTGAAAATATATATTGATTTATTGAGGTTTAGATGATTATTTGGGATGATAATGAATTATTATGGTTATAGGATTATAATTCTAAGTTAGAGACTCAATTTTTTAATTTTTGGGTATTTAGATACGAATTTATGAAATAAAAAAAAAATTTTAATAATAAAATTAGTTTAGAAGTTGATTTTTAGATTATTAATGTTTATTGATAATTAAAAGAGGAGTTAAAAATTTTACTTACTAGTTAATTATAGATTTGTATTAAGATTGAGATTAAGAATTATGTTATATTTTTAATTCTATTATTAGAATTATTTTATTAGTTTCAAAAATTAAAACTAATATTTATAAATAATATGTTATTTATAGATTGTATTACTGGTGAAGATTGTGGTGAGAGAGAAATTTTAAGGAATAATTATTTATTGAAAAAGCCACAAGGTCCCATACTTTTAATTTATAATTAGTGTTACTTCATGTTAATTGGGTGATTATTGAGAAAATTATGAATTTTGTAATATTGTAATTGTGCAATATTATTATGAATTTGTTTAATTATTGTGGGAGGTGTTGGGAGACTTGTTATTATTATTATATTTATGTGCCACGTGGTACGCCCCTATTGGAGCTCAATAGGTGGCTTGTAAGGGCTCGGGTTAATCTACCTTTGGCCGAGTAATTTAGCACCGAATGAGGGCTACGGCTTGAGGTTAATGGAGGGATATAAGGATGGTTGTTTGTGTGTATTGTAATATTTCTTATATTTGTTGGAATTATATTCTTTTTAATTCTCACTTAGTAAGCCACACTTAACTGTTTGTATACACTATCATAAATTGACTTTGGTTACTGGAACTTTTGAGTCTCATTATGTGGTTAACAATTTTCAGGAGAATAACCACGGGTGACACGTAGAGGAGTCCCAAAGGCTTAGTAGTATAGATCCACTGTCTCTTTTGGGTATTTAATTTATAATTTATAATGTGTTATATTGCTAATATTAGGGCTTTTTGTTTATTGTCAATTATATGAATATATAAATGTAATCATACCTTTCAAACTATTTCTATTTTTGGTACAATTTTGATGACTGTAATTTTAATATTTGGTTTACTTTGGATTAGTTAAAATGGCATGATTATAAGGCCAAATAACTGGCTTGTGTTGAAAATTGACTAAATTGTTTATTTTACTTGTTGGGAGTATAAGGATGGACAAATGTGATTTAGTTTACTTGTTGGGAGTATAAGGATGGACAAATGTGATTCAGCCTAATGGCATGTGGGAGGTAAAAATTTATCTGAAATGTTATAGTGTGTGAGTTGAAGCCAATTATAAAATATTTTATATTGAAATTATTGATATAAGAATGTGTTGGATGGCTGCAACCCAACTATGGTTGAGTTAAATTATTTAAAAAAATTTAATATGTTACAAATACAATAGTCTCTAGGGAAAACTTGATATAATTGGAACACTTTGTCAACTATATTTTGATATAAAAGAAATGTCTTAAAAAAATAAGATAATTATTTTCATCTTTTCAATACAGGTGTGTTTTCCTTTTTTATGCATAAATTACATTTCACCCTATCTATATCATCGCTCGAGACTTGGATTATATTTATCAAAGAGGGTAGGAATAAAATGACACTAGTATGTAGTCGTAGAATCAAGATCTTACATCAGAAGGGATAGTAGTAGAGCTAGGGTCCTTGATATAAAAAATTTTTTTGCTATCTCTTTCAAGTCCATTACTCTTCTTTCATTATTTCTTTTTATTTCTTTCTTAATTCAACCTTGCAAATATAGTGAGCCAATGAAAGGTATTTGATGAGTTAACTCTTGAGCATTGAATTTTTATTTTTTTATTATTTTTTGATTAATACCTTATTAGTATTCAGAACGAGGATGATGCAAGTTTAGTTTACTCAAATTAAGCTTTGTTCCTATTTTTTAAAAGATAATATTAATATCTAAGTATAGTAAAATTAAGGGCTAATATTTATTAAATTTTGAATTAAAAAGTTAAATTTTATATATGAGTTAAAAAAGCAAGATTGAAATAAATTTAAATTTTAAAATATTAAAATAAAGGATGCAATGTATAAAAGTGAGAAAGTATGATTATGAAATATGAAATTCATGCTACATACATCCCCCAAGATGACATTACGCCGTTTCTTACGAATTCAAATTCATAAGTTTGATTTTTTTAAAATTTGACTATTTTCTAAAACTTAAGTCTTCTGGAGACAAGTCCACAAACCCTTTTTTTTCAACAATAAGATTTTTATTATAATTTACAAATTAATTAAAATATTATAAAATCCAGAGTAAATAAAACCAATCCACTTCTTTAATTATATCACAGTCATAAGTCAAGTTTTTCCATGCTAATACTCAATGCATGCATGTATAAATCTTACATAAATAGGATGAGAGAATAAAAACAATTTTAAATTATCAAAACAGTCTTATATATTGAAAACAATAGCCTCTCATTGCAAAAATACCAGCACAGCCAATATACTCACGGAGTCGCGGTAATTTAAATTTAAATTAGATGTCAAGGAATCAAATACTGCACACGTAAGCTGACTTAACAGATCAAGGCACCAAACCAAAATTTATTTTACATTATCACACTATCACAGAGACAATTTAATTTTGAAATAACAAATTCAATGGGATGGCCACAAACCTCGTTTTAATTCATAAACTAATTTGAAAATAAATTACAAAACATTTATGTTTTCCTCTTTGTTGGAAGGTCAAGAAAATGAATTGTCAATTTTTTTTTAAATCAATACAAGCTTGGCAAGCCATTCAAGCCTGTTTTTTCACAGAAGCAGGCCTATAAAACTTATTATACTAAAAATCCTTAATTTTTTAAGTTTAAATTTTTATAAAATGAATTTAGATGGGTGGCACATTAAATCAGGCTTATATTTCCACTTCTACATATCGATTACAAACATAGTTGTATTGTTTCTTGTTAAGCCAAACACAGGTTTATTGTTTATTATAAAAACAATATCTTACATTATTGCTTCTTTGGTGTTTACGTTAAAACGGCATGATTCTCAATGCCAGTGTGCTTCTGATTCCTCGAGTTAAATTAAAGTGGCCGCCTTCTCAAATGCAAGTTTTAAGCTTACCCCTCACTCAACACTTATCACCCTGACAATAATTTAAATTATTAAATAATATAAACTCCAATCTAATCCCTTTATCCGAATAAGAAAAAGGATAATCTAATCCTAATTGATGTTAGGTCAGCAATGTTCGTAATTAGTCAGGTGAAAATGAAATTCCAGTGTTCAATTATAATTTAAGAGGAAAATATATATACATGTCTCTATATAATTTTTCTCAATTTTAAACAAAGTATCTCAATTTATTTCATTTTAATTAAGTTCTTATAGTTTGATTCATTAAATTTTTTAATTCCTGGATCCTTGAATTTATTCTTTCAAAAGTAAAATTGAGAACTTTTATATTTTTATTCAAAGATTAAACAGCTCTAGAATTAGTGATAAAATTTTTATAAATGAAAATTTATTTAATTAGATTATACTTTAAATAATTTTTATGTATAGAATTTTACTAAAAAAATAAAAAGATGAAAACAGTGCATTAAATCAACTTTTTTATAAAGTCCAAAATTATTTTTGTTTTGGGAAAGTTAATAATTCTTTATTAATTTTGACCTTAAGGGATTAAGATGTTTAATGAATCAAATTATAAAGACTCGATCAAAACAAATTAAATTACAGTGATCTAATTTAATATTGAGAAAAACTAGTAAGACTTGCAGATTAATTTTTGTATAATTAAATAAACAAATCAAACATATTAATGCATTATGATTTTAAAAACAAGATGGAGTATGAAATTTATTTGTTTATTACTTGTTGTGTATGAAACTAGGAAAAATTGATCGAAATGGAGAAAATTTATTTTCTGATGGTGGTCTGCTCTATGATTATTAACGGTGACTCGCCCACATTAAAATGCTGTCCTAGATTTGACGTGTTCTCTCCGTTGAACCAGTCAATTATTCTCCGCATCTCTCAGCTCTCTCGTATTTTGCGGTCACCGGAGTCGGCGCATAGATAGTCATCCCTCGTTTAGATCAATTTAAATTCATGAACATGATATCTTAAAAAAAATAGAACACGTCGTGTGCGTAGGCACAATACACGTGTATTTTCAGGGATAACATTTACTTATTTGCATGTTTAAAGTAACAAGTATCACAAACCATATAACAAAACATAATCATTAATAATAATTAAATTAAATTAAATTAAATTAACATCCGTGAATCCTTTGGAATAGGCAGAACGAAATCCACGTGTCCTAATTTAAGATCATTATATAATTGATATTTATATTGGGTGAATGCGGATCTTCTGAGCAGTGAACCTGAAATGTGGACCGTTGGATGGTTAGCCGGCCATTAATTAGTCACCAGGAATAATGAGCCCACCATCAACGGAGAGGGGCTTCTCCTTTTTCTTTATTCTTCATTTTCTTCATTCTGTCTTCATCATTAAGATAAGTATTGGGAAAAAGTTGACGCTGACTTCCCGGCGGCCATGGATGATTAAACGCTCCGAGAAGAGTCACCGGACTGCTAGCGGCTGGGTGCATGTGGATATGTTTTGCAAATCTAGAAGGTTACCTGATAAAATTACCATTTTAAACATTTCAAGTGTACCCCATTCGTCTCAAATTATGAGATATTTTTAAATATAATTTTATATATCAATAAATCTTATTAAATATATTTAATAATTTTATTTTTTTAAAATAAAAATATAAATTTTTAAAAATATCCTTCATTTAATGCTCAATTGATAAAAGCATATATGAAGAGGTTAATGTTAAAAATGTATCATTAATGAAACCTTATTTTTATTAAAGTATTTTATATTTTGAGATACTGAATTTTTTTTGAAGGTGTCTTATAATTTTAAATGAAAAGAATATATTATAATATACAACTATATATTATATGTTTAGCATGCGCGCACATATATATTCTATTTTTTATGTATTTTAAATATGTATTGCACTATTCATTTGCCCATGTAAATTTCAAATCATTTTATTCACACTGTAGTTAGTATATTACACGAGAGTGAAACAAATGAGTGATGTTTTCATCATACACTTTATTATGCTTCACCAGCATGGATAAATAGTCCAGCTGAAAGAAACTTGATAGTAACTTTTAATGTTTTTTTTATAATAGTGATAATTGTTTATGCCTTTTGACATCCTCCACCTGGTTTTATTGACAAGCAACTTTCACTCCCGGAATTAAAATATATTCAAATCTTATATATTGTATCTGAAGATACAATAAGTTGACAATTTTGTCTAGATTAACATACATACTTTAGTAATTTACTTTTTCCCACTAATATTGAATGGGAGTTAAAAAAAGAATTTTGTGACAAAAAATTAATGACATATCTATGACATATCTTATATATAAAATAAAAAATATATTTCTTTATCTTATAAATACAATCAAAAGAGTTACATTTATGACTTCTACCGATTGTTAACTTGGAGACTGTATTTTTTTTTTTTGAATATTGTGGAATTTATTTGAAGGGGGGATGCACGTGTCATCCAAACAAAATATTTTATTTTGCACTGTACAGTCAATTATGAAGGAGAAAAGTTGTTGTTAATAATTAGTTGTCTTAATGACAATATTATTTTTTTTTTACATTTAAAAGATATTTTGGATTTAAATCCAACATTGACATGATTGTATGCATGGGTGTGTTATGGAAAAGAGCTAAGTTAAAAGTAAAATAAAAAAATGATACTCTCTTTATTTAAAATGTAAGCATTTGTAATCAAATTTTATTTCAATAAAGTAATTATTTATTTTTAAATTAATCTTATTTTTATATTTATTTTTATTAAATATTTTATGATAAATATAAAGTCATTGTTAATAAAAGTACTTTAAAAAAACAATAATTACATCTTAAAAAATTAAAAATATTTTATATTTTTTAATATTTAACTCCTTAAAAAATCCTATGGAATTGTCACATCAGCGATCAGTCACTGTATATCAAATGGCCCAGGACAAGTCAATTTTTTTTTTCCCCTTTACATGGACAACCAACCAGAGAAGTATCGCTTGAAGGAAAACTGGACTTTAAGAGCCCAGTTGGCAGACTCAAAGGTCCATGTGGCAGCCCATTTGTATAATTCATCTCTGTCGGCCCCCAAAAAAAAAAAACCAGTGTAAGTCATCTCAGGAACATGTTTCATCGGGTGTTTGCAGGATGGTTTGATTATGATATCCCTGAACAAGGCAGCTGCATGACTTGCCAAAGCATGTCAATAGAGGGAAGTGTGGTATGTTGTAGGATCTAGGTCCCTCACCCTGCTTTGTGCAGAGGATTGCATTGGAATTTGTTAGAAGGAGATCTGATATGATCCCTTCTTGGTTTGTTGTCGTGTGTTTTTTTTTTTATATTTTCAATGTAATGGAATGTAATATACAATTTCTTGTAAAAAAAAAAACTAGAGAAACACTAGGTTAAACTATTTTAAATTATAAGTATTTTTAACATTAATTCTCTATTAAAAATTAAAATGTGTAGAGAGATATAAAATTCTAAAAATAAAATTTTGAGGCATAATTAAAATTGTGAATTTTTTTAAAAAAATCTACAAAAAATGAGAGATTTGTGATTACTAACCTTTGATCGTGAACAGTGTGGCTTTACTTGCGAAAATATTTGTCTTGCGCTGGTTGTCGGAAATTTTCATTTTACGTTGCGGAGAAATCACTCCGTGGAATACACAGCCCACATTGAGAAACCCAAAACTGAGTTAACACCTTGCTTCTTCATATTTCATGCCCAACCCCTTTATGCCACGAAACAAATTGGGATACTCATTAGAAGCAAGTTATTCACAACATAATAAATTAGTATTTCAATTTTTTCGATACTCATTTAATAATCAGTCATGTCTAGAGCATAATTGCCTTCAATCTAATAAGAGGTTGCATGTAAGAAATAAAAAAAAATGTTCTTCATTTAGACAGTGTTTTAGATTGGTAGATTTAGATTTGAATTCTAAATTTAAAATTTCATATATAAATTCACATATTTAAAATATTTTATTAAATAGTTTAAAAAATTTTAAATAAAAAAATAGTTGAAATTTAAAATGAAAATAAAAAAATATAAAAAATTGTGAGTTTATATATTTTTTTAATTGATAAGAGACAAGAATAGAACATGAAAAAATATATGAGAATACAAAAGCATTGATAGCAAAACAAAAGGAAAATAAGATGTTTGAAGAAATTAAAATTTCAATTGATCAGGATGTTAACAAAAAAAATTAAAATATAAATCTGGATTTGAATTCAAAAATTCTTACGTAGTCAGATAAAGAATTTCATTCAAATCAAAAATTTAATCGAAATACCCATCAGTCAAAAACACCATTATTTTATTTCGTAAAATTCTTCCATTGTTTTAGTCAACATGCAAAACATCCTCAATAAAAAATAAAATACCATACAATGATTTTACCAGGGGGAATTTGATAGGATATAGAACAAGGAGAGTTGAAAGATGATCTGATGATATGTCTGACCAAAGCCGGTAAAAATATTTTATTAATAGGAGGTGGAAAAACACAGGCAACAAAATTGAAAGCTGGCAAGCAGTAATATCCTTAGGCTGGGCCTTCCGACTTTAAAGGGTCAAACTTGAACTTATCCACACACAAAATTTACCCTCTAATACTAAAAAAAAAATGTAGATTCAATTGATAAAAATTTAATCAATGTTTTATAAGTTCATGGTTTTAAATCCTGATTGTGAAGATTTTGTTAGTAAGTGGTCTGTGAGTATTTTTATAAATTTTCTTTGAATTTGGATTCATATGCTAACCCTGATGACTTCTCAGGTTTCAAGTCGCTCAGATATTAATGGAAGCAAATTAATTGGAATTGGCGGGGTTAGGACAACAAATAATTGAACCAACCATATAATCCAACGCCCTCACGTCAAGTTGAAGTCTTTCCACCGTTTCTATTATTATTTGACAATCTCCTGCACGAGATATGACAAGCTTGTCGAGCAAAAATCCCAATTCACCGGGCAGGGCACGTGGAGATTGCTGAGAGGGAGAAGTCAAAGACAGGCATTAAATTGGGATAGAAAGTGGATGACAAGGAAATTGCATATAGTTTACGGGATAAGGACAGGCTTTTTTGCTTGGCCGAGAGGGCAGAGTGGCTTGGTTGGGTTCTTTCAAATTCTGATGCGCTGTTGCTTTCCTGGCCAAAAGTGATCAGCTGATAAAGGAGGTCTTTGCATGTTTATCTTCCCCCTGAAGGACTTCCCTCCCATGACTCATGATTCCATATCCCTACAAAGAATATACTGTAGCATCCATCCCAAGCGATACTTTATGCACTATTTGCATAATCAATACTCAGTAGCTTTCATTGTAGGCAGCAAAGAACCTGAGTCAGGTTAGTGGGACGATTCATCAAACCTGGGTCAACCAACAATCAACCTATTTCTTTTTTAAAAAAAAATCTGTGCTTAGCATAGTTTTTTTATTTTACGATTCATCAAAGCTAAACATTATTTTTCTTCATATGATAAAATTAATTAATAGTCATAAGTTCGTGAATTTCAAAAAGCTATCCTATCCCACTGTACTTTCTATGATTCGTTTTTCTGTGGATTGGCCATGAGAATCAATTATCTATCCAGAAATAAAGTTTTGGTGAAAAATATTCAAGCACCTCCATTTGTGCATAATTGATTATATTACCCCAAACCCAAATCACATTTTTGCTTAAGTTATTCTCACCGGCTTGTCAATTTCAGTTATACCCCTTTGAGCATTTATTGCTTGTCAGAATTTTTAACCTACGAAGTGTGTCCCTGGCTTCGTCTGGACGTTAATGTTCAAAGAGTGTGAACTGTGACAAATCAACAAAGTGACTGCCTCAGCTCGAGACAAAAAGGAAAGTTTCTACAAAAACAAAAAAAAGAAATAAAAATATTTATTATTTATTATTAAAGAGAACAAAACATTAAACGTGAGAAAAATTAAAAAAAAACTGTAACATTGATAAAAAAATATTGTTAAATATTAACATTTATAAATTTATAATAAAATTTAATTTAAATTTATATTACTTATCAATATATGTGTGCTGAACAATTTTTAAAACAGTAAATGTATCATTATTATATTTTTATTAAATAAATCAAAATAAATTTAATAATATCATACGCAATTTTATTTCCCCTAAAACTCATGTCTTTTATTGTCATTTACACATCTAAAGTTAATTTAAATTAAAATCATTAAAATTTCTTTAATTTTATCAAAATTAATTTTAAAAACTATCATTCAAACACCTTCACATCATAATATAATCACTTTTAATTAAAATCTATTATATTAATTAATTTTTTATATCCTATTAAAATCTAAACACACTTTTAATTTGTTTTTCCATTAAAAACCGCGTTGATACCCAAAATGGGCTCGCCCATTTCTTACTTCTCCCTTTCCTCCCTGCTCTCCTAGGATCCGTTCATGATTATAGGCAAAGACAATATCACATGAGTTCTTTCCACCATGAATTTGAGTAATTGACCACTGATGTAAAGCTCTCATATTCACCAAAAAATAAAAGTCGATTGGACTGTGATAAAAACAGAGATCAAAATACAATGATACGCATACGAAGCAGGGAAAAACCAGAAACTTTTCATTTTTGAATTTTCTTTTTTATATTCCGGAGTGTTACAATTTATCTCTTTCTCACTCTAGAAATCATAAGGGAAAAATTGCGAAACATGGGAAAAAAAGTTGAGCTCTCTGCCCATAAAATCAGATTAAGTCTGCAGACAGCTCGAGGCCAAAACCACGGAGAGATGATAAAAACGCGAGACAAATAAAATAACCAGAAGCTCTGGGTTCATCTGTGCGCAGTGACCAACGTTTCAATAAATCGCAAACCGTCAAATTTCGGCACGAATTTGTTACCCGACGATGATGACCTCACCGACGAGGATTCCTTGTGGCCGTTCACAGCCAAACCATCCTGCAAAACAAAAAGTCTTTGAAATCAGTTTTCCGACAGGAAATCAACAAACAGACAGACGCAAGAAATTGTTAAAAAAAGGACTAATCCAGCACAAAAATCTCAGATCCCAATTTTTTAGTCTAGTCTCAATCAAGCGGGGGAAAACTCGCAAGAAATTGGAATCCCCGCCACAAATTGCGAAGCTGAACGGTACCTGATGAGTAATCGTCGCGGGGCACGAAACTGAGACGACAGTGGCAGCAACGGTGGCCGCAAGGAGGCCAGACAGCTTCATTGTGTATAGATACTTGATCTGATTTTCTCACCGGAAAAGACGGAAAGCAATAAGGAGAGAGAAAGACAATGTAGATTGCTACAATTGTTTGACGGCACACACATATATAGGTGGGGCTCCTCAGGGTTTGTGGCTTCGTGCTTCTTTTCTGCATGATGACCAACGACGCGGCAACAATCCCTTGTGGACGGCCAAGAAAGCTTATCCCCTCTTTCTTCTTTTTAAATTACGAGTTTGCCCCTCTCCTTCAAAAAATATTCTCTCATTTTAGCATTTAAATATAAAAAGCGTGCCACGCAAGTTTTTTTGAACGCATAATTGTCAAGCGATGTGATTCACACGAATGAATTCCATTTTAAGGATAGAAAGAAACGCAATGCTGCTATTGTAAATAGAAGGGACCCAGCTTCTCTTCAATCACGCACTACCCAATTTGCCCTCATGTCTTCTTTTATTTGAACTTGACTTCTCTCCATTTTATCTTCTCTTCACTTTTCATATCAATCGTTGGATTCATTTTTAAATGGTTGGGATTTGATGTTTCATGAAATTATTATTAAATTAATAATAATTTCATGAAATATCAAATTTCAATCATTTAAAAATGAATTCAATAATTGAGATGAAAAGTAAAAGGAAAGTGAAAAGAAGAAAAAAATGAAGAGAAGCCAAATTTAAATAGAAGAGGACACGAGGGCAGATTGGGTAGTGCGTGACATTTTTTTAATGTGGAGTTGGGCGTGAATCTGATGGGGCCAATGATGTCGGGGAGCCAGGATGATAGAGTGACACGTGTGTGGTGGCGATCTAACCGACCACCTAAAGCCATTTTCTTTGCAGCTGTTTATTCTTTAATTCAGGTCCGAGACGTTCGGCAGACGCTTGCTGTTGGAGCGACGGTTGCAATTTGGAAACAACTCTTGCCTTTTACCGTATTATCCTCCGCTCCGTTCATTGCGTGGCCAGAGAAAAATTGCCATCGAATAATTTTTTAAAATATTTCTGAGATTTTTTTATCACACATAATATAATATTTTTATAAAAAATCGTGCAACATCCTTCTTTTGTCCAAGCCTTTTTTTTTTTTAATTGAAGGCTATGAATAAACCGTATTAATTAATAAGATGGGTTATATTAGTGTATAAAATATTACAACAATCAGACGGCGGGATATTAAAGATACGAATATATAAATTGTCAGTATAAGCTTGATGAGATAACCAATTGGTACATTTATTTGCCTCCTTAAAAGTGTAGTCAAATGTGATTGTCTAGTCTCGTATAGTGGAGTCTCTGATTTTATTAATGATAATAGTGAGTGGGTAGGTAGTAGATAATTCATTGTGGATTAACAAGAGAGCTTCTGTAGAGTCAGTTTAGACATTAACTTTCTTAAATTTTTTAACCCAACAAATGTTTAAACCTTTCAGGATGCACATAAATTCAGTAGCCATACTTGGATAATAACCTGGGTATCTAGAGTAACCATTGATCCAATTTTCTTGATTGTTTTAAATAAGACCCCCGCATTTAGTTGCACCGTGAATGTTGACAGAGCTATCGGTATCCAATCTAACCCGACTTTCTTCAGGAGCAAACCATCTAGTTGTTGCTCTATCTCCTTTTTGAGTTAGAAAGTTAATTTTATTTTGAAGATATTAATCTCTAAGAATATATAGGATGCTGGTAAAAGCAATGTCTCTATCTCGAGTGTCTTTTCTGAATGTAAATTTTTGCACCTTTCTTTTTAAATGTCCCAGCACATGTGGACATAAAATTTCTACCAAAAGGTTCTTTTGTTTAAGCTTTAAAGTAAGGAATACTACCTTACCTTTAGCACCTTACATCAATGGAATGGTGGATGATATGATACCATACCAAAATAGGTAGCCTCTTCATTTAAAAATATAAAATATTTTTAATCATATCTCATCGTTCAATAAAATAATTATTTACTTTTAAGTTAATCATATTTTTTTATATTTATTACTATTAAATATCCTATAATAAATATAAAATTATTATCAATTGAGGCATTTTAAAAAAAATTATACGTTAAAAGATTAAATATGCCTTACATTTTTAAATATACAACTCTTTAAAAATTGTCTTTTAGCATAAATAAATGTCATGTTATCTTATGCCATGACACGAGGCTTGCGTTTCCTTGTTCCTTGCGGAGATATTCTTTCTTCCAGAGGTGTGATTGTGTAATGTGGTTGATTAGATATGAGAGATATACTTGTGCAAAACTGGATCATCATTTTAAACTATTCTTACAAAGAAATTAATAAATATATCAATTGAATCATCATGCATTTCACGGTACTTTTGAAATCAGAATTTCTATGATACACTTTTAGGGCGTAAAAATTTGTTATTTTTTTTTATATAACTTGATCATGTTTTTTCTTGCACAAATCCTTCCGTGCGTTTTGATTGAAAACAAAAAGGTTATAACCTTTAATGAAAAGGACCAGGTACTTTTTCTTAGGCCAGAGGAATTTCACTTCTCTCACAATTTCAGATGGCTTGAGCTCGATTGTGACAGAATTGATGTTAAAGAAACTGATTCGCAGGTGGCTTTTTCATTAGTATACTAATTAAATTTACCCATGTCACTCACCCTTTGCTTGCTTTGATGGAAATGTTTTAGCAATGGCTGATGATGGGATTGGTTAAATTGCTGCTTTTTTTTTTTTTTAAACTATTCCTCTGTTTTTGTATGATTTTTAATTTTAATGGAATGACCAAAATCCTATTTTGCCATCCCAATAGCGGCAGGAAAACTGTAACTCAACTGATATTTGGATCGCATATGTGAATTGAATCTTCTTTTTTATCAAAACAAACTAATAACCACAGTAAGTGGTAGTCCACACAGTGAGACTTACCTCATTCTGCTACCAATATTATAGTTTGGTTATACAAGTGCAGTTTGGTAATCCAATTTAAATTGACATTCTAATCCAAATTGGATTTGATGACTATCATAGTTTTATGTCGCAACTTTTGTTAATATCATAAATGCAACTAACTTTATAGCCAGCGGTGTGCATAGTACAGATAATGTGCCTCAACCAACCCTGCAAAAATGGAAGCTGCATCAATGAGTCGATCATATATGAATGACAAAGTTCGTTCTCCTTTGGACTAAACACGAAATAGTTAACAAAAATCAGCACTTGAATAAAAAGATCCTTACGTTGAGCAATCCATGCTATCAGAAATAGGGAAACTGAGATGGGTACCGCAAAGGACAGGGAGATCATCAATTTTGTAGGGAATCAAAGGTGGTGCAATCCCCTTCACCATGAGCTGAATGCACCAGCAAATCTTGCGAGGACCTGTTCTGTGATGTGCTAATATGTTAAGCTTCTCTACGTGGCTGCAACATCTTTTCGGGGGATTCTCAAAAGCTGGATCCCCCACCAGGAATTCCAAGCAATAATTGAAGTATTCAAATATACGCTCACACGTTGAATATACATCACCTGGCTCTGCTACTACTTTTCTTGATGCCTCATCTATGTCTAATCCACTTACCACTACCAACATTAGTATTGAAATAACCGCGATGCGAGCCATTCTTCTGAGTGTAGAAAGAGGTTAATGCTCATGTCGGTTTTTATAGGTCGCAGTTCTTAGAGCTGTTGATAAAAAGCTTGAACAACTAAACTGCATGCCATTTTTATGTTCCTTAAATCCCTCAAAACTGTTGGAACCTACACTTTCCCACAGAAATTGGGTTTGCACAGCATAACTGGACGAAAAGACTACTCCTTGCATCATATGCTTGCTTTGCTTCTAGATTTAAACAACCAAACCCCAGCTAGTTGACATAACATACTTATCATTATTTTTTCCCCAAACAAACAGGATTAAGTCACCTATAATCAATGAATTGTCTTTATTAAGATTCCAAAGAATTTCAATCCAGATTTAAACCCCATGATTCCGCATTCATTCTCTCACTTCTGCTTGCATCATTGAACGTGGAAAGAAGGTGATTGATTGATTGCTGTCTTGGAATATGTGTGTGTCTATATATATGCTTGATCGTTGGCCCCCCAGAAGAGGAATGGACGAATGGCTGATTGCACGGTTAGCTGACTGGACTAATGGTGCACCACAAATGTTAGACAGCATGTTTTTCTAGTTTGATGCGTGCCTAGACGCTCCTACCAATTGAAATTTAGGGCACGCACAGCCAAAAGAATTATGCAAGGAAAAAATTGCAGCTATAAATGAAGCTGCTCATTCTGCCCTTTTGTTAAATTGCATTTCCCGTTGAAATCCCAGAATTGATAGTGCAATACGGAAAGTCCACTGCTAGGTGAAAATCCGAAGGGGAAAATGACGAAATCCACTACATCAACATTTAGCAGAGCGTAATCGACAATGAAATCAGACTCATCAAGCTCATATGTCAGTGATCAAAGACTTCAATATATCTCCCGGAAGACCAAATCATATCTTGGAATCTGATTGAAGTTCCTCTCCTGGCATCTATAGGCTATCGCGATGGCAAGACATCGGCTGATTAAGATTTTGGACAAAGCAAGGCATGAAGACAAAACCGGTTAAAAACTAATTAACTCAAGTGGCTTATATGAGGCTGTAGTTGAGATTTTATCAATTTTAGGTGCTCATATCACGAACAGAAGAGGCTTGTAAAAAGTTCCTTGATTCAGGATTTACCACAAAGGCTTGTATAGCCATATTATTCGTTCTAGGGTCAATGAATCTACAAACTTGTCAGACGCACAAACAGATATGAACATAGAAATACTTCATCAGCTCAAGATAATTACTCCTTTATTCACTGCCTTAAATTCCATGACTACTGCAAAATCCAAAAAGCGCATTATCATGTTACCCCAGTTTGACGCAAATCGAGTTCAAATTAGCCACGTCAAGGCTAAATACGGTTAGTTGAGACAGTATTCTACGAGTGTTCTTTTTCCTCGACCACAAGGTACTGAGACATACTTACGCATCATTGGAAGAACATGTACATGAAGCTAAAACAACGAGCCATTTTTTTGGGTTGGGGGGCTACAAACTGATTTCCCATCTGAAGGTATGGAATAAGCTGAACTAGGTTATTAATCCCTGGCTGATAAACATTAAAACTCCGTAATAATTCGCCTCGTGAATTGGAAAAGATAACTGTAATTTGCCTGGACTTCGTTTTGCATATTCTAACAACTTCGGCTCACGCAGAAATATTCAGCATTGCCTGGAACCACCAATGGATTGCAGGAGAGGTAAGGGAAGAGGATTAAATTTTTCGGTTGGTGAACAAAGCACAAGTGAAAAAGAGACACATGGCCAAAAACACGCGTTTATGCACGCTGTTTTTTCCCAGTATATTAGGATATAAAGAAAATGACAATTGGCTGCCAAAAGCAAAAGGGAAAAGAAAACGCTGACTAATGGGGGATGACTGAAGCAGAAAATGACATACAAACTACTATTTCTCACGTTTGTAGATGACCTATATCAAGAAAAATGGATTAGAATAAATAATAGCCTACAAACACTATAAGGTCGACACAGCAGGAAAAGTAGAAAAAAACTTCCATGGACGGCGACATAGATGAGTATATTTCACCTAACATCGCCACAAAGAAGTGAAGAAATAAGTACTTAGTTGTCAAGTCGACGACCATTATTCTGCTTCAGCCTAATAACTCGTTCCTATTATCCTTTTCTACTTCACTTGCATATTCCTTAAAATCCCATCGATTAAACTGAATCATCCTCTGAAGCCACAATTCATTGTACAGTCCATGGCCAAAACTACGAGGGTCTGCCACCTTCTGTTAAGGGTCCTGGCCTTTGGTGCGACCCTTTCATCCATCATTGTCATGGCTACTAGCCACGAAACAGTTAGCTTCTTCACGGTATCCTTGGAAGCAAAGTACACCCATTCCTCTGCCTTCAAGTAAGTGTCTATCACTGTCAATTGATTCTTTCATTGTTCTGCAGAATCGTTTCCTTGATTCATAAGCTGACTATTTGGTTTATATATACCAAAACTTTTTCTAGGTACTTTGTAATTGCCAACTCTGTAGTGGCCGTCTACGGATTCTTGGTCCTCTTTTTGCCCTCAGGAAGTTCTCTCTCTCAATTCGTCATTTTCTTTGATATGGTAACCACCTCGACCGTACAGTACTAATATCACCATTTTTTGTGGATTTTCACTAGCTTGTATATTACACAATCAGCTGATAGATCATGTCTTGAGAAATTTTCAAGAGGCTTGAAGTGGAAATTGTATGAGAGCTATACAATGACGGGTTAATGTTTTGTGCAGGTGTTCACGTTATTACTCACCTCAAGCGTATCTGCCGCATTGGCTATGGCTTATGTAGGCAAGAAAGGAAATAGCTATGCTGGTTGGCTGCCACTATGTGGTCAAGTACCCAAATTTTGCCATCAAGTGACAGGAGCTTTGGCCTCTGGTTTTATTGCACTCGTTATATATATTATTCTTCTTTTTCATTCCATTTACAGCATCTACCTCTTCTTCAAGTAGATAAAACTTGAAAATAGCGCTTTTAAGCTTCAGGGAAAGAGTCCTCCGCTGTTGGATCTCAAGTGAAAATCTCTTTCTCATCAGTTTTGCTCTTTTCGCTAATTTGTCTGCCTTTCTTGTAATGTCGTCGTCGTCCCCCGGGGAGGGGGAGTCAGTTTGGTTCCTTCCCATATGATATTTGGTAACGGCTGTGGAAGTATTTAATAACTAATATAATGCATGTATCAGATGATATTTTGGCAGGATACAACCTAAGATATCTTGTTTCTCATACAGTATTACGGTCAAGCTCAAATGTTATTACTCAAAATAATAGGGTAAATGAAAATGAATCTGCTTACTTTGTTCATTGATGAAGTTGGTATATGTGCAAAGTACACGAGTAAAGAATAAATCAAAAATATAATTATTGGTTCATATAATTTTATTGAATTTTACTTTTAGTTTTTATAATTTTTTCAATGAAAATATTGAAATTATAAGGATTTAAGTAATAAAAATAACCTAATTTTGTTGAAACTATAAGGATTAAAAATATTAAAAAAATACAAAATTAAATATAAAACTTGATAAAACTATAAAGATTGGTGATTGTATTTTTTTAAGAATAAATTGAATATCTACAACCAACTACCGAATGACTAATTTAAGTTACACTAGTTAATATACTCATTCTATTTTAAATTATAAGATATTTTAAGAAAAGATTCAACGTCCCAAAATATAAAACTTTGATAAAAATAAAACTTTATTAATTATACTTTTTCAATATTACTCTTCTATATATTTTTTTTTCAATATTCTTTTATCAATAGCGTATTAAATTAAGGGCATTTTTGAAAGTTTACTCTCTCTGTTTTTATTTATAAGAAAAACTATCACTTTTAACTTTTTATATGAGTAAAATCACATTTTTTAATACCCATTTATTGCAAACTTCTCAAATACCCTTTATATTTTTATTATTCATACTCATAATAAATAATTAATTAAGGCTTGATTAATACAATTAATAAAGGATATTGTAGTACAATTCTTTTATGTTAAGACATAATTAATATAATTAATTAATTTTTTTAAATTGTGCGACGGAGTTTTTTTTTTCTTGTGGATAGAAATGGAGGGAGTAGTCCCTTTAGTCCTATTAATAGGGCAAAAGGAGAATAATTTTTTTAGTTTTTTTGTAAATCACATCATTAAAATTTTATCCTCAATATTTTTTTTATCCTTCATTGAATGTTGGAGATAAAAAAATATGTTACTAAAGTGTGTATATTTAATAGGAGTAAAGTTAAAACTTATTAAATGTTAAGACAGAGTTAATGAATTTTAAGATTTTCCTTGATATTGGTAAAATATGTCAGAAGTGACTTACAAATATGATTAAAGGAGTGTATTTTTTTCTTCAAAAAGCAAGGTTTTAAAATATATTTAATGAGTTTTATTGATATGTAAAATTTTATTTACAAATATCTTATAATTTGAGATAAATGAAGCATCTAATAAATATTGTGACTCAATGAAGTATTGACAAGATTCAAGATCCGCAAAATTAGGTAGAAGCAATTAATTTGCTTGGTTTCTATCTACTCTAATGAGCCATTTACCATTCCTATGGAAAGAGGTCGATTTCTCAACCTCGACTTATTCCAAGTGAACACAGCATGCAACAATGGGAGAAAAACAATATAAAATGCATGTACCAAAAAGCATGACAGTTATTTAATACCTCTGAGCAACATGATCTGTTGATTTTGCCACAAAATAATGCTCCTTTATTTAATGATCCAAACGCCACCATTGAATTAATGATATATAATTAAGCATAGTCTTGGCCAAAAAAAAAAAATTAGCAGAGTACCCCTCTAGTATTATTTATAAAGCATTTTCAACATATTTAATCAGAATTAAAAAAAATCTTAAAACTCATTAATTTTATTTAAAAATTTAATAATTTTTTAAATTTATCTCTATTAAATATATATGTTTTAATAACATATTTTCTCTCTTCAATATTTAATAAAAGTCAAAGAAAAAAATTTGTGATAAAAATTTAATAAAATGACTTATAAATAAAATTTAAAAAAAATTTCTTTCTACCTTATAAATAAGATAAGATGAAATAGTTTTGGAGCAAAATGCAATACTAAAGCACTTAGATGGTATGACATACACTGGGATTATCATTCTTTACTCTGATTAACAAGAATGACAAAGCCTTGCTTCTGTATATATCATCACCCTAACCTACCTGGTCATTGATGTATGCCCTATAAGATAACTGGAGACAAGTTATATTTATCAATAAAATTTAATAATAACACTTTATAAATTTATTTTTTAAAATAAATATATAAACTTTTTAAAATATCTTTTTTTAATATAGTTCTATATTTTTTGTCGTTTAAATTCTCTCTTAATTTAAGTGTAATATTAAAAAAATAGTATTAATAAGATTTTATTTTTATTAAATTATTTTATATTTTTATATAATAAATTTTTTTAGTGTTGTTTTATAATTTGAGACAGACGAATAATCAAGCAAAAAGACTCCTCGTAATAAATTCGATGGGATTATCAGGTTGTCCATGGAGAGTGAATAGCCAACCATTTGCTGATAGAATTTTCAGGTTAATAGCAGAATTTCAATCGATACTCCGTAGAAAACAAGAATCATATCCTTGTCAATTCAAACGAACAATTTTCGTAGGCTTCCAAAAAGTTATCTTTTCATTTGAAGTTAGCTCCAAAAAGTGTTCCATTGGTCCTTGAGATTGACCTATCATGCATTGCATGGGCGCATCTTCTGTGATCCAAAACCAACACTAACGGTAACTTTGCATGCTTCATGGTCCTTTCCTGACAGGATGCTCCCAAATAAAAGTCGCGTCTGTTGACATTTGTGTTCTTTATAGATCCCCTGTATCCAACCGATAATGGGTTTAATACATATAAATCAACAACTGCGGTTCAAGTAACAGTGTCTTGTTGGTGTTTTGATCATCGTTGTGGGTTCCATATTCGGGCCTGCACCGTGGTCTTCCTGGCAGTATTGACTATGGAGGACATTGATTGGGATTGGCTGCTTTACAACTGTCATGACTTTCAAGGGTCCAAATGTATATCCTGCAACTCGTTCTTAAAGGTTGCGTAACTAAGAAGGAAAGACGTCAAACTGATGGACAAGTCAGAATTTGAGGTTGTTAATTGATCTCACAATATTTTATTTTTATGTCGACAGTCGACCCCATGGATATGATTAAGCTGGTGGGGTGCGACCAATTAATACTCTATGCATCCAAGTTCGCCTCCACACGTTACACCCGGCCCATCATCGTGTGATATGGATATATCCTCAATTCTTTTTTATTATATTTTGTTTTTACTTGGACCAATATTAATACATCATCGATTCAGACCGCGTCCACTGTGACCGGGAGGCCAAGATAAGTACATTATTTAATAGGAATCGGAACCGGACTGCTGCAGACACATCAATTTTACATAAATCATCATATATAGATATATATATATATATATATATAGCGGGCGCTGCCAGCACATACGAACTATTTTTTCCGTGTTATTATCACCTTTCTTTTCCATCCTTAAATAATAAATGGGCGTTCATTCTGGCCGAGAAAAATGAATATCCTATTACTTTGATCTCGTATTTAATTAACAAAATAAAACACAGACAAAGAAAGAAGAACTTGTCTACATCAGCTTGGTGAACAAAAAAAAAGGGGGAAAAACTTCGCTTTCGGATTCAGTTGAGGTGGAGGCCCTCGTTGTGACAAAGTTCATTCCAGAAGAAAAGTTTACGTCAGTCTCTGCTTGATCTCATAACTGGTAGCTTCGACTTCTGTACAGTACTCGCAAGCAAAGATGGAGCCTTTGCTGAAAGGCGAAAGCAGTGGTCAGAGGATGCGACCGCCTGGGATTTTCCATCATCGCTCACATGCTATAGCCTACGGCACGCCCTCCGTGAAAGCGGCAGCACTTGTGGATCTGGTTAGTTCGTTTCCATTTATGTTCGTTCTGTCCTGGTATTAGACATTTTATTTTTTTGGACTTTGCATTGGTTGCGGTAACTTCAATAACAAGCCAATGCGTTCTCTCTTAACTTCAACATAGCTGTTGAGTTGCTATTGAAGTGACATAAATCTCTGTATTTAAGTGGCAATTATCAATATGTATATTCCCTTTCTGATCAGTTTATGCTCGTTGTATTGGTTGGAGTTGCATTCTGCAGGCTGAAGACGGCGTCGGCATCCCGGAGCAAATCCTCGATTCGTCTAGATTTCAGAGTTCTGCTAGATTTTATTTTATATTTATTAAATTAAACTTTATATGGTCTCTTGGTTACTTTGCCCTGCTAGTCCTGAATTTCCTCGAGGTTAGTATTAATTTTACTCTCCCTTTTGGATGCATTGGAAATTAAAAGGCAAAAAGATTACCACTAATTGAGTATTAGGCTTTTAAGAGACTTCCCATATTGCTTTACACTGTACAGAAACCCTTGTGGTGTGAAAAATATACCGCTTATTCTTGCGAAGATAGGGAGTATTTCTTTCTGGGGCAGCTGCCATATCTAACTGGTGCAGAATGTGTTATTTACGAGGTGAGAGTATATGGCTCTTTAGAAAGGATTTCTTTGTAATTGCTTGATTTCTTGATGAACTTTTTTGAGGCTGCCTTCCTAAGACTAGTGAATACCTTTGGTAACATTTATGCCATTAGTATCGTTCTGCTTCATTGCCTTGTTTACTTTATGCATATTGTGGACCTTGCTAGTGTGGCTAACTGTTAAGTAAGCTTCTTGGAGGGTTAAAGAAAGTGTGAGTTTCACAATTGCCTTCCACTGTATCCATTCACTGTTGCTCTGCATCTTTCTTGTTCTTTATTTTGACGGTTATGCATAACTGGGTCAAATTCTTATACAATTATGTCATAAATTGAAAATTACCTATGAATTTTTTTTTTCCTGTGGAACTACAAGCGATTGGCTTTTACCAAACAAGTGTCTTGCTCGACCTGTGTGGTTATTGAAGTGTCTTTATATTCTTTTCTTAGTTATCTGTGGTGTATGTGTTGCTTGACCTTTTTCTTCCTTACACAGGGTATAACTCTTCTTGTGCTTATCGTGCATATTTTTTTCCCGATATCGTATGAAGGCTCCTGCATATATTGGAAAAAAACTGTTAATCAATTGAAGGTATGCTGCTCCAAGATCTTATGAATATGTTTTATATTTTTTATATATTTCTGGAGAAGTTGCTGCATTTACTTAAATTGTTCTCTCCAGTGAAGAATGGTATACCTTTTAGTGAATGGATTCAATGCCTCCGCATGTGCTATTTAAACCTTTTCGTGGTGACACAGTGTTAGAAATAATGACACCACGGACATATATACTGTAAGAAGTTTTGAAGTTCTCTGCAGCGTCAATATCAAGAAGAATTGTAGAAAAATAAAAAGATAAAACGGAGACATGTAGGAGATACAGGGAAACATTAGATATGCGAAGTTGGTGCAAATCCTCATTGGATTTTGAGCGTTCATGCATATGCTGTCCAAAAATATGTAACGATATCTTCATATAGTTAAACTACCACTGTCTTAGTTACTGAGGAAGAAAATCTGCTGAATGGTAGCAAATCTGAGGCAGCATTGGCTGTTTCTGTTTCCAGAATTTAGTGGACATGCTGTATCCTTAGATATTACCCTGATACTAGAATCACATTATACTGTGGAACCAAAAATGATAATAATTTTTATATCTAAATCTTTTTGTAGCAGATCCTATTTTAAGTCTACTCTATAATTGTCTTCCAAGTTAGTTATTTGCCCAACCTAAGGACACAACATATTACAAATTTGGAAACCTAATAAAGTTTTTCTATATTATATGTAGTTAATATGCGGCTCTAACTTAGAGCTACAAATTTGTTCTTACATTAGTTCAAAAAAGGAAAAAAAAAACATTGGACTGTGAAAACGATTGGAGGGAAGAGGATAAGATATCCTTGGAAAGCAATATGGTAAGTAAATTAAAACTTTCATAATACACTTAATGACAATATTTTATAGTTATGACAACATGACATTAGTAGTAGTAGTGGGAGAGGCAATTATGAAACAAAGAGTAATGACCAACAACCAACAATAATGAACAGCTCATATGCTTAATGCAATGCATGTTGTTACTGTGCTTATGTTATTTTGCATATTGCTCTTACTTCAAATCTGGACCTTATTTGTGTGCATGTCCGTGGACTTGTCTAAAATGGAGGGGGGCAAGATCACGTCGTTTTAAGATTATCTTTTCTCTAAGCTCTATTATTTAATATACTTTCTTATCTACTAATAAAATGATTTGTTGGTATATACAGGTGTTGTGTCTGTTAGTTCTGGCTGCTGATATGGTGGTTTATGCTGTGTATTTGTCTCCAGTGACTTTTTATTCTCTACCTGTCAGATTTGCACCTTATGTCAGGGTTCTTCTTTTCATTTTACATATTAGGTATTTTTACATGACCCCTTCCCCCCCCCCAAAAGACAGTTTTCAGAATACTCCTTTCAAACCTCTGTATGAAAATTTTACAATCATTGCTTTGTCTGAAATCAAAAAATTCATGCAAGAAATTATTATTTGTTCAAAACATAACTGGAAAATAATAAAAAAGACCAAGATTTCAGTAGAAGGTAGAATACATGACTTCTTTTGTTTATCTCCATCTTCTGCGCTAATTAACATCCATCTCCTGCTGGTGGTTGTTGATTGTGAAAGTGACCTTTGTTGACAATATTTAATTTTCCTTGGCCTACCAAACATCTCAGACATAGAGAAATTAAACAATGGCAGTATTGGTTGAAAAAGGAGTCAGCACCTCATAGATAATTATGGGCTCGTTTGAAACTGTTTTTGTTTAATTATTCTGAGAACTGGTGTTTTGTAAAACACTAAAACACGTTCAGGGAACAAAAAAGAAAAAATAATGAAAACAAATATTTTTTGCATTTTCCTTTGTTCTCCAGAGCAATAATCCTACAACAACTAAAAGATGTTTTTGTTTTTATTCTCCAGAACAAATTTGGTTTTTTTTTTTGTTCTCCAAAACATTTTTTGAAAACACACTACTAAACAATTTTTTTTTTATTTTTTGTTTTGTTTTGGAGAATAGAAAACTGTTCTCAGAACAGATTGCCAAATGAGTCCTAAATTTTCTTACTAAATAATTTCATCTGTATCTTCTTTGATATCTTGTTTTCTTGGCAACTCTATTTTACCCTCATTGATACTGATGTTTGGAAATATAGGTGACAAAATTTCAAAAGATTTGGAATTTCCTAGATCAGATTTTCAGAGGTCTCTATTGCTGACACATCATTTGAAATGGAGGAAAAATGATAATATTTCACAACATAAAGAAGTATTAAAACTTGAAAATCTCCTCCTTTTCTTTGAGTCCCTATGGCTTTGTTTACTACCTTTTACTTAATTGAAAGATCAAAAGGGAAAGGTGTTGGATTAGGAGGTGCAACAAAAAATTAAAATTTAAATCCCAATCGCGATCGTGGACCGATCAAATTCGTTTAAGTCAAAGTGGATACAAGAAATCCCTTTTCTAGCGTCGTACTTCTCAAGTTTTCTTTAAGTGTCTGGATTTCAAGAGCTAACAATGCATATCGGCTCCCTCTACCGTAATATTAGAGTCTAGTAGAGGGAGCCGATCTGCTGGTATTACTGTAATATCATAGCCCAATAGAAGGATCTTAGGAGCTGACAATGCAGATCAGCTTTCTCATATTAATTGAGAGATATTATTGGATTGAGATATCATTGGACTCCTTGATGAGTAATATTTCTCAATGTAAGGGACAAATTCCAACTTGATCACTCATATTTCTCTTCATGAATATCACTAAACTCAATTATAGCCTTTATGATCACCCGGTTAAAGGTGACTTTTGACTAGGTAAAAGTTTAATGGTCATCATGTAGGAATTCATAATGATCTTAGATCAAAGAGCTTAGTAATATGGTTACATATGAGATAATCTTATGATTTGTACCATGCAGTTTTCTCATAATGGGTCAGTCTAGCACCTTGTATCCTTTCAAATGTCTATGACTTTGATTTATATCTCTATAACTAATTAAAGTCATATTATTGTTGTATTATCTATCATTCCTCATATATGACTGATTAGGGATATTTAGGACAATTACTATAGTTTATTTAAGGATACAATTATCATAGTGAACATACAATTAATATGGTAACAAAAAAAAAATTCATTAAATAACAATGTTCATAGTATAATGATTGGTTCTAGGGCACAATTTTCAACAAAAGAGAAGGTTAGAATAGTTGGCACTGTAAGATCAGACGTCATGTTATATCCTTGCAGTTATTATTTAGTACTTTATCACTTCACTTATCATGTTTCACATGCATTGTGAACTCTTCCATATTTGGACAAAATGAAAATGCCCTTGCGGCTCCTTTGTTTGAAATAATCTAACACATTAAATTTTAGGGAATTACGAGCAACCCTTACCATCTTGGCTGGAATGCTTGGCACATACCTGAATGTCCTGGTTTGTTTACTATCTTACCTCCGTTCCTAGCTCTTTTCTTTTCCCATATGCAATAGTAGGTAGTTTTGAAAAGTGTTTTAGTCATGTTGCATAAAAGATGTATCGAGTCACACTTGTTTACAACTTTTTTAGATTATTTCTTTTGGAAAAATTCATTGTTTCTCTACCAAATACTTCATTCTGTCTAATTCTCATGAATTGCAGGCCTTGGGGCTTCTGTTTCTTCTTTTCTCAAGTTGGGTGGCCTATGTGATGTTTGAAGATACTCAACAGGGGAAAATAGTATTCACTTCCTATGGCACCACATTGTATCAGATGTTTGTTTTATTTACCACATCCAATAATCCAGATGTTTGGATTCCTGCATACAAGTAAGATGTTGAAAATTTTTTAAATTTCCATTTTTGTCATAATCTGCCGAAAAATGTTAGGTCTAAGTGATGCAGTATTTTTAACTGCTTTAAATATATTTGATGTTTCGTTTTTTTATGTTGGATTTGATTGTGGAAGTCTTTGTTTCTATATATCATAATCATGTCTGTATTATTCTCTAAGGCTTTTGCAAATTTTCATGGGGGCTTACTTTCATGAGAATTCATAGATCAATTATTATATTGTTTAAGATATTTTCTTTTGAGGCATTTGCAAATTTTACAAGGGCTTACTTTCATGAGAAATTGTAGATTAGCTATTATATTGGCATGTAAGTTGACCGCAACATTTTTATTGAATAAAAAAATGTTATCATTGTCGGTAGAGATGAAATAATTATAGTGTAGGATATCTCTTATCCTGTTAAGTTTATCCCAAGTAATTACTGCTCTGAATTTCATTGAATTGTGGGCTTTTTTAGGGCTTCACGTTGGTACTGCCTGTTTTTTGTTCTCTTTGTGCTGTTGGGGGTCTACTTTGTCACGAATTTGGTCCTTGCCGTTGTTTATGACAGTTTCAAGAGTGAGGTACCCAGTACTAAAAACTTGTAAATATTGCATCATGTTGTTGCTATTTTCTCATATAGTTACTCATTGGAATTTTACTCGGAATGTAGAAGAGTTTTTACTGTATATTATTTATATACTCTCTAAAGAAAATTAAAATGACAGCTGATGGCTCTTGAATTTACTATTTTTGCAGCTTGCAAAACAAGTTTTTGAGATGGATCAAATGAGAAGAAATATGTTGGGGAAAGCATTTGATCTGTTAGATGATAATGTAAGCTTATTTTATTTTGGTTTGTTGGTCATGATCTGAATGATAGAGCACAATGGCGTCATATAATCCATGTAGCCGATCCCATCTAGTTGGATAAGGCTTGTTATTGTTGTTGTTGGTCATGGTCCAGTATGAACAAAACTATATATATATAAATTGTACAAATTGCAAGCAGGTGCACCTGCACGTGCATGTCTGTGTGTTTATTCATTCATTCCATTATTACTGTTATCATTCCATTACTACTGTTATCATTTGTGATGTGCCTTGCCAGTCTATATATAAGTTTCTGGCCCTTCTGTCTTTCTGTGGTTTTTCTTCCTTTGATGTCCTTGTGCATCCTTAAGGATCTTTGTTTTTGCTCTTCCTTCAAAGTTATGGAGAAGATTATGGAATGCATTTTTTCCCCTGAAACTCAGAATAACATAATCTCCGAGGGTGCAGTTTATTTATTTGGGAAAGGAAAGAACTAAGTAAGCGTCTGTATAAAAATTAGCAGTAAAAAGACTGATAAATCTTTACAAGAAGTCATGAACTAACTGGGACTAAGATTGAATCTGAACTCACGGAAGTTCAAAAGTGCTCTAGGCTTAGGATGTAAATACATTGTCCATAATAATGATCTGGCTGCTTGGTGCTGTACTATCATGTGTACTGTCAAGAATATGCAGACAATGTGACAGCAGCTTCATTAGATGGGACAAGAATTGCGAGAGGAGGATAAGTTAGCCTCCTTTAGAATAAAACGGAAGGGGAAGGGGAAAGAGAAGGCAATGAAAAGAAATTGAACTTGAGAAAATAACAATGCCATCCTATGCCTATTCAATTTGGTCAAAGAGACGTTCTTAAAACAACCATGAATAGAACACTAAGGGGAAGCAAGAGATGTGATCATTTTCTCATAGATCATTTAATCATTTCTAATTTGACCTTATATTTTTTCCTTTCAAAATGTGACACTGACTATCACTTGGTTTCTATGCTTAGGAAAGGTTCCTTTTGTGATTATATGCAACTCATTAGTGTTGATTCTAAAGCTTCGTGAGATTCATTTTTGTGCTCGCAGCATGTTGGGTATCTTAACAAAGACCAATGTATTGAACTCTTTCAGGAGCTGAACAAGTACAGGTATTACTTTGTTTACTTGTGTTCAATATTCTTTCAGATTTATCATATTATTCATTTGTTGCTTGCTCATGACAGTTTCAGTTAAAAATGTTCCCAAATTCCCATATATTTATTAACATGAAAGAGATGTTTTTTTTTTTTTTTGCTATTATTCATGATTCACTTTTATGCGGGTTCCTCTTCTTTTTCAAAAGAAGGGGGAAAAAAAAATCTTAATGGAAGCGCATATGAAGAGGGTTATCCAGATCTTCATAATTTAACTTGAGATATAGAGAGTCAGAAGTCAAGTTTCAGAACGTATAAACTGCTCATCTGACTTTACTGACCGTAGGCAAGAGAGAACATCAAGGTTACAGTACAAGGGCACTTACAAACACTGTCTTACCTTAAATGATTCCTTGGCTTCCAATGCAAGTTACTTAGATGTGACAACAGCTGCCAAGTTTCCAGTTCATTGCAATATTTTCAGTTAATAGCTTTAGAAATCCTTAAGCTAGATTGCTTTGTGAAAACTTGAAACAATTGCTGAGCTATCACTCAGCCTGTCCTTTGAGCAAGTCAATTCTTTTGGAGGTTAAAAAACTCTAGTTTTATTTTAGCCGATAAAGGAATTCTATTGTTAATCAGGTCACTCATCATCCTTATGCCCCTCCCTTCCCCCCTTTGTCCTCTGGTGCTAAACACACAAACACACAAACGCATACTTTCAGTCACAATAATATAGGAAGATGGTGAACCTTTTCCCTTTAAGGAGAAAGAGGCAGGTGTGTCCAATTATTGGGCATATAAATGCAATTTTGCACCACGACTTCATACAGAGGTAGTCTGGGAACCACCTGTTTGGCATATTTTCTGCATTTCACTATTGTAACTGGTAGTTGCTCATTACTGCGATTTCTTTTCTGGCAAAGTGGTGTTACCTAATTTCTTGGATCGACAATATAAGCTGATCTTACTATTTTGGTCCTAACTTTGTATCTTTCTATAATCTTCCTTCCACCTTGTGAATGTCAAAGCATGAACTTATCTGTCTTTATTAGGACTTTGCCAAATATTTCCCGGGAAGAATTTGAGTTGATATTTGATGAGCTGGACGATAGTCATGATGTAAAGGTGCGTTTTGTCTGCAAGCTTTTCTTTTATGTTTTTCAGATGCAACTTTTTATGCATGTGATTGTGTAGATTAAATATGGTGTTCCCTGTTGCTTGAACCTGCATATCTCAAACGATAATGTATAATTGCATCTGTGCTTATAGGTTTCCAAAACCTGTCTTTGCACATGATCTTAATGTGTACACTTGTCCAGTAATATAGAGTTGACGTTTCACTGTCATTTTAAACAGATTTCACATAACATTTTGAATTTTCTTTTTCTTTTTTTTTCTCTCCAAAATATAACATTTTGATTTATATTTTTGATCCTGAAATTTTCAACGCTATTCAACTTTTTTAATTTCAGATCAACAAGGATGAATTTGCTGATATTTGCAATGCCATTGCTTTAAAGTTCCAGAAGGAGGATAGTGTAAGTTCAGATAATGCTAGAACATTTGGAAGCTTATGTGCAGAATCTAATTTTTTTCTGTTCTTATTGCAGCCATCTTACTTTGAGTACTTTTCATTCTACCAAGCTTCTATCTCCAAGAAGTTGAAAGCCTTTGTGCGGTGCCCCAAGTTTGGATTGCTAATATCCTTCATTCTTATATTGAATCTGATTGCTGTTGTAATTGAGACAACGGTATGGTATATTATACCTTATAGCATGTTAATAATTGAATACATTGGCTTATTTGGCCCAAGCAAACAGGATCTTGCTGGTTGCCCCCCCAAAAAAAAAAAAAAAACATTTTGCTGGATCCCTTTATTCTTGTCACCAACTGATTTTAAATTTAGTATTGACTCTTGTTTGATGTGAGATAGGGGGGGTTCAAAATCTATTATGTCAAAGAACCATTTAACTGAATCTTAAGCATTTAGGTTGGAATCCAATAATTAAAAAAAAAAAAAAGAAAGCAAAAAAGAGGAGATTGAGGAAACACTATTCGAGGAAAACATTTAGTCTCTAATAATACATGGTATCCTATATTTACCATATTTGTCAGAGGTATCCTTCAATGATTTGTTGCTTTTCATTTGTTATCAATTATCTTACTGATACTCTGGTAGGTGATGTTTGACAAATGTAGTAGCAACCATTGTTGTCCCTGGATGCTAATGAATTATTTGAGATGCTCTCCTTGCATCATATGCTCCATCGATAGATTAAATTATCATTATAAGTTAGAAAAAGAACATGTGTTTGTTGCATGTTATTAAGTATTTTCAGAAAATTCACCTCAATCCTTTTATTTTTGAAGCATCATATTTACATAATGTAACAGAGAAGTAATATGTTGTTTATGTTAGTGTCATACATATCTCTTCCCACCTAGATTTTGTATTATTTTGTTGCTTCTATTCTTTTTTGATCTTCACAAGCATTTTGTTAATTTATCTTTCTTCGCATGCAACATTACAGCTTGATCTACAAAATAATTCTGCTCAAAAGGTGTGGCAAGGGGTTGAGTTTGTTTTCGGTAAGTGGATGAAATAGTGTACTCTCGTCGGACCACAATATAAGGCATCTTTTAAAAACCTTGCCTAGTCCAACTATAGGACATCGGATAACTTTTATATTTGTTTTTCCAACTATGCCCTTTATTTATTACTCTTTTTGAAAAAGTCATGTACTAAAATTTTAATTACTATTATCAACTATCAAGGCTTTTATATAAGGCATTTAATGATGGCATAAATGAAAAGATATGGACATTTTTAAGAAAATTTAAGGTTTCAACTAACATTATTCGTAAACCGTGAATTAGTTAATTATGACTTATATTGTCCTCCGGAGGGAGTATCTTCTTGTTGTTGGGTTCATTATCTATTTCTGCAATCCATGTTGAGCTATTAAATTGAGTTAATAATTTTTGTAACTTACCTGCATGTCACTCCCTGCTGTCCAAATGATTTTTTCAGAAGACTCTACATTTATGTGGGCTAATTCGAATAATTTTTCTTTGATACTTATTAGCTCAAATTCAATGTCGTACATTATATGTTACAGTGCAGCTTTTGGTTTACATACTGTTGATTGTTTCCTTGCTGTACTACAGGGTGGATATATGTAATAGAAATGGCTTTAAAAGTTTATTCATATGGATTTGAGAATTATTGGCGGGATGGTCAAAATCGCTTTGATTTTATGATCACATGGATAATTGGTAGGCTTCTAATTATCTGGAGTTTTTTGCTTCTTTAAATATTATCTGATTTTATTAGCATATTCTCTGAATTTCTTATTAAATATTGGGGATAATTTTACTCTTCGGCATCTGCAATTTTTTACCATGTGTTCATGACCCACCCATTGAAGTCGTTTTGCGGCCTTCTATTTTGATGTTATGTGGCGTAAAACCTTGTTCTAAGGCTATTTCATGGTGTTCTGACTAATGATTCAAACTTTTGCAGTCATCGGGGAAACTATGACTTTTGTTACACCTGATGGGCTGATTTTTTTCTCAAATGGAGAATGGTATGGACTTTTTTACTTTGAAATGTGCTATTTGTTTTTTTTTTTGGGGTCTACAGTAGTGGTGCATTTCAATTGGTCAAACATAATGACTAATGTTGCACTTCTGAGGATTCACGGAATACAGTCTCAGTCTAATGCATGTCATGCTATTGCATTATTCTATTGATCTATTGACTGAGATTTAAAGATATATGATCCATAGATTGCATTTCTTAAATTTTTTTTATTTTCTTTATTAATACCTATATATAAGTATAAGCTGATTATTGGATTGTCATCATTTTTCAATTTGGCAACATTATGAGTTAATTAAATTTGAACTTTCTTAAATTCTTGATAATTTTTTCTAGAATTTTTTTCATTATTGTTATTGATGTGACAATTTTTTTCTTATAAAATGATTATAAAAAGACTAATTCCCTTATACCACAATAGACTAATTGATAGTTTGCGTTAATTTTTTATATGTTTAAATTCATAAAATATTTTAGGGAAAATACAATTATTGGTCCTTATAATTTTTTCTTGTTTTGGTAGAGGTCACTGCAGGGTTTTTTCATTGCTGGAGGTCCCTCTAGTTTATCTCATCGATAATGTTATTCTCTCTATTTTTAAATATGTCTAGGAGAACAATGAGGTGGTTCTAACGATGTTAAATATGCTGACATGTGATTAATGTCATTGATCTTTGTGATGAGGTGGAATTATGATTCAATAGATTGACATTTGAAACTTGAAACAGAATGGGGTGGACAACGGTGTTAATCTGTTGAATCATAATTCCACTTTTACATGGTTTAACGGCATTAGTTACAGGTCCACATATTTAATACCATCAGTGCTATCTCATCATCTTTATAGGTATATTTAAAAATAGAGGGATTAACGTTGCATATTGGATACACTAAAGGGACTTGAAGCAATGAAAAAAACTATAGGGACTTGTACCAGAACATGTTAAAACTATAAAGACCAATAGTTATGTTTTCACAATATTTTAAGTATTTTATACCTTAACCTTTCATTCTGAATATTAAGACATTATAGATGAACTTGTCCCCTTCATCACATGCCCCGAATCTAGTCTGAATATATGGATCAATGTGAATGGCATCTAATGACAGTTAAAGATGCATGATAGTTATGTGGATGGCCTGTGAAGGATTGCCAGTATATGAGGTGAATTGAGTAAATGCTAAATAAGCTATTTTATGACCAAAATAAAATGAGCAGAGGAAAAGGTTCTGTACCTAGCTGTAATTTGAACTCATGATAATATCTTGCATCCACTTTTCTTTGCTTCATACAACGATGTTTGCAGAAGTTGTGATAATTATATTGATGTTTATGCTATTCTCTTTCTCAGAGTTTCTGAATAATACATTATGTGTTGTCATTATTACATTGAGGGAAAAAAGGTTTTGTTTTTAGTATTTTCTCATTATTGTTTCTGAATTCCTACTACAAAATTCCAATAAATTTGCTAAATTGACCTTAAAATATGTAATAGCATGTCTTGTTAGCCGAAGTAAAAATTTACAGTTTGAAGAGGAACTCAGTTTCTTTCCTGCTAAGCCCTGAAGATAATATATGTTTATTTACAGGATTCGGTACCTTCTTTTAGCAAGAATGCTGAGGTTGATAAGGCTCCTTATGCATGTCCAGCAATACCGAGCCTTTGTGGCAACCTTCCTAACTCTCATACCAAGTTTGATGCCATACCTTGGAACCATATTTTGTATCTTATGTATTTATTGCTCCCTTGGTGTACAGGTGAATAAAGTGCCTTTTTTTTTTTTTTTGGGGGGATGCTTCCTTAATTGAGTATTGAAATTTTCGTCATTCATTAGTGAATCAAATTAAGGATTATTTTGACCTTATCTCTGGCAATTATCTTCTCTTTTCTAATGCCTTCCTTCACTGCTCTAACAATGGACCTGTGAAAATACTGTCTACTTTCATCTCTTTGTTTATTATTGTTAAATTGATGTGTGGGGGTATCAGTGGGTTCTATTATTCAACTTTTTATGTGGTTTTAATTTGTAGATCTTCGGTGGAATTGTCAATGCTGGAAATCCCAAATTGGAAACAACAGGCCTTTCTGACAATGAGTATCCTTTGCTCATCTATAAAATCATGTTCAACGGTTGTAGCTAATCCATTCTAGAAATAACTATCGGTTTCATTTTCTCTTGGATGATTCTTCTTAACAATAATAGCTATCTGATCTTTAATTTTAATGATTATCCAAATGGAATGGTTACACTTTTCAATTTGCTAGTCATGGGAAACTGGCATGTATGGATGCAGGTATGGGTACCATTTCACCAAATTTTATCATTTTCGCTGTCATCATTTGGTCAACAATGACTACTGTAGTGCAGTTGCCTTTGTCTTAGAAAGGGTCGTTCTCTCTGAAGAGGGTCCACTCTTGGGCGTGTTCTTTCTGCCTGATTTTAAGGCCTTGTCGTTTGAGTCCTTCACTAGCACCAATAGTCAGTGCATTGTAAATGCTTATGAACATCCAATTGCACGTCAGTGTCAGACTTTGGGATGTTTATTCACATTATTAACTTACCAGTATTAGATTTATGGTTGTGTCATTGTTTGAAAATGACTTCCTATATCGTATACACCTGACACATATTTTGTGGTTTTCCATGTCAGAGCTACAAGGAATTAACAGGAACTTCTTGGACCTATCTTTACTTTATTAGCTTCTACTTAATAACTGTTCTGCTGCTTTTGAATTTGGTAAGCTTTGTTTTTGTACTTATTAAATGCTTTATGATTATATCGGCCTTAACATTCCACAGTAGAAAGCTTATTAAATTACATGAAGTTACACTAATTTTCTTGTAGGCATGTACTACACATACCAGTTCTTTGCATAGTTAACTCGTTTGCATTTTTGTTGTATAAACAGTTGTCCTTATTGTCCATGTGTTATCTTTGCTTATGTTTAGTAAGTTAAAAGTGATTATGTTTTCCCTGTATTTTAGGTTGTTGCTTTTGTCTTGGAGGCATTCTTTGCTGAAATGGAGCTTGAGACGTCTGCTGATACTAGAGAAGAAGATGACAAGGTTTGTAGTTAATCTCTAACTCTAGTGCTTATCGTATGTTTCTGTGCCAGTTATGCATTTGTATACTATTAACTAAAGGTTTTCCACGTGCTCGTGTTGAATCTCGATCTTGGATTGTTTTTTATGCTGTCAGTATATCATTGTTAAATTTGATGGCTAGACAGTTTACGTGTGCATATATTTTCAATTTCTACAGAAACTTGTTGAACCTCTGTTTAGTTTCTGATGCTATGTTTTGTCATCTTGTAGGAGGTTGAAGGAGAAAGACATCGAAGACGACGTATTGGGTATGTATATCTGGCAATACTTCTTCTGCTGGCACCACCGTCAACTATCTTTATTTAAGTTGACTCAGATGGTGCTCTTCTTATCTTGTTTTGGTGCAGCACCAAATCCCGCAGCCAAAGGGTTGATGCTCTTCTTCATCATATGTTGAGCTCTGAGTTGTGTCAAGCACAGCCTTCACATCCATAACGGCTGTTGCAGGTGAAACGGGAAAGCTACTTGTCTACCTGGTTTTTTCTCTTACGCAAAGAAGTCTGTCTTTGTTGAGCTTCCTCAATTTAACTTGGGTTGTAAACCATTTCTTATGCCGTAGTTTTTTTTTTAAATAAATGAACAACATGTGGTAGCTTATGATAAATGTGAATCTGTATTTTTTTTTTTAATCGTTACAGGAAGCGCTGAGGAGAACATTTCAGTATATACATGTATCTGTAATGCTTCATGGGTCAGTGGTGTCATCGTTCTGCTTGATGGGTTCAAGGCTGGTACTAGAGGTGGGGAAATATGAGACAGAATTATATACTAGTTTCACACAACACATTTAAATACTATAAAGTTCATTGACAACTTAATAAAAGAAAATGATGACACATTTTATTTTGTTCAGTTGTTAATAGATCTTGTAGTATTTAATTATATTATGTGAGACTTTAAAGTAATTCTCCAAAAATGAAATGAAACATGTGTGGATCTTGAGTGATTAGTTGGAGGTGGATTGAAAGTTTTCTTTTGTTTTTTTTTTTTTTTTGGTTTTTGGGTAATCTTTCCTCCCTATGGAAAGAGAATTGACGATTAAACATGAATAATCTTGTAGTATTTAATTATATTATGTGAGACTTTAAAGTAATTCTTCAAAAATGAAATGAAACATGTTTGGACCTTGAGTGATTAGCAGGAGGTCGGATTGAAAGTTTTCTTTTTTTTTTGTTTTTGTTTTTGTTTTTGTTTTTGGGTAATCTTTTCTCCCTACGGAAAGAGAATTGACGATTAAACATGGTTGAGGCGTTGAGTTGAGTGGGAGTTTTTTTTTCTTCTGGATCTGACCGAGGTTTTTTTTTTTTTTTGGGGGGGGGGGGTGGTATAGCTGTATCATCTACGGGGATGGTGTGTACTTTATTCACAACGCACATATTTTTTTAAAATATATTATATATTATTTAATATTTTAAAACTTAGTCCATTTTATACGTATATAAGGGTATAATGTTATAGATATGTTATTAAAAATAAAAATATTCATATTATATTCATATAATTTTTAATATGTAAAAGATTTTATAATTGGCTTGAAAATATATTTTAATCTTGATTTTTAAACTCTAAATGCTGCAGTTTTTTTTTTAAACAATTTTGAGTCTTCTATAATTCTTTAAAAACTTTTCAAGTTTATTAGAATTATGTAATTCTAATAATATTGATGGTTGTTGTTCGGCCTATTGATGAATTGGCTTGTTTGAGTGAAATTGATAGGGAACTTGAACTCAACGACATTGTAAAACATTTGCTGAAAGTTTTTTTTTTTTCGCAAGGATTTTTTGATAATCACATTAGCTACAAGCATTTATAAGAACATATCATGAAATTATAAAAACTTCCTGTAAAAATAGCAGTTTGAAAAATCTTTTAATCTCTTTATACCAGCAACTAAGTAGTGTTTCTTCAATTCTTTTATCATACCATGCACGAGGAAAAATGATGACTTTAAATGTATAAAAGATTATACTTTTTTAACATTTGAATTTGAATTCTATTAAAATATGTAACAAAATATTAAAGAAGTAAAAAACAAAGTTAAACAGAAATCAATATGATATGTGGATAAACATTGAACATATAAAAAATGCATAAGAACTGAAGCAAAAAAATGTGCAGCTTTCAATGGTTCTTAAACTTTGCATTGGTATTGGACATTATAAAATGTGACATCCACGAGAGTTTTTTTTTTTTTTTTGGGATAGAGATCCACCAGAGTTGACACAAAAACTAGTCGTTTGACACTCTGGAACCCAGCGGCCTAAAAAGCAAATGACATTGCGGGGTTCAATTCCAGTCCCCATGCAAGAACCAAAAGCCCAAGCTCATCATAAAACTTCAATTTTTTCACTGCGGCTTGAGGCGCCAACTCCTCGCGCCAATAGCATCGTTCCCGCCGAATTCTGCCCGCCCCTGGCGAACTTGTATATAATCCCTACCTACCCAAACCCATGCTTCATCTCACTAAATCTTCTTACTTTGCTTCTTCATTCTCTTACTTTTCTCCAGATTCTCTATTGCCAACAATGGTGGTCTCTCTTGGTCCCGGCAAATTCTACGGCACCAGCCTTCCTCGGCCACGGATCTACAACGACGTCAAATTTAACGATCACCGGGTTGATCCTCCAGTACCAGTTGCTGATCCGTTTATGTCCTGGGCCAACGAAGCTCACTGGTCCATGGGAGGTCTCAGCCTCAAGCGCTTACGCCTCCAGGGAAAGATCGAGGGCAACGTCAACAAGCTCCGTGCTGAACGTGAAAAGCTCTTCAAGAAGCTGAATCGCAGCCCTGTTGCCGCATCGATTCCTTTTGGACCCAAAAGCGAGAACGTCGTCGGTGGTAAAAGAGCATCCCCGGTTTCACCACCACCGGCTCCCGTCCCGGCAAAGCGACGAAGATTCCTGGCTATGATTGAGGAGGATAACGGGGGAGGGGGAAATTCCAGGGGAGGGGGAGGTTGAAACAGTGAATCGTAAGGTTCGTAGAAGGCTGGTGAAGAAGCTTGGCGATGATTTTGATAAGGTGGCTTTGGCAAGTGAGAGGAGTTGCATGTCTGATTCTGGGAATGATAGGGGTAAAAAGGGGAGCCCATTGAAGAGTTCTCCGGACAGATCGGACTCAATGGCGTTGCGGACCCGCAGTCGGAGATTGGAAAAAGGAGGTGATAATGCTGATGATGTTGCAATGAAGGAGATTGTAGAGGCGAGCAAATCGAATTCGAAAGGAAAGAAGGCTGAGAAGAACACTAACAAGAGTCAAGTAGATAATAGCCCTGTTCCTGGCAACAGGGTTAGAACTTCCCCAAGATTGTCAAGCCGTAGATCCAGTTAGCTGCGTATTGGAAATTATGCAGCTTAATTTGCCTTCTTTTGCTAATAGGAACTAGAAAGCAATGCTTTAATTCATTTCTCTTTTTGTAATTTTGTAATGGTGCTGCTTTTAGGTTCTACAACTGGCTTGATTTTATACGGAATCCAGAATCTCAAATTTCTCTTGTATGATGTTGATAATCTTTTTGAGAGGTTCGACTTTCTCTGCCTGGATGTGTGCATTTTATTCTCATAGGATATCTTTTACGATTAGAAGTTTGGCTGCGAGCTCCTCACTGTAATGTTCTGGCAGTGTCTCCGAAAGCTGACGGCTAATAGATAGCTTGTTAGCAACAACTGTAGATCCATTTCTTGCACCTGGATTTCATAATCCACATAATTTATTGGCACTGTTCTTGAACAATCAAGTAATAAAATTTTCGTGCTAATAATTTTCTTGGAATGCTCTCGGAGATAAATTCATAAAACTCGTTAACTTTGCCAGACCTCAGTGACTATCATTTGTTTGTGCAGGATGCCAAGCTCTTTACTTCGCCCAAACATCACTGACGCAAAAGAAGCGATAAAACTTGGTCATCGATAATTAAATGATCAGTTGAATTGTCCAGAAAAGAGAAACATACACGAAGAACGGCCCTGGCGATATGAAAGCAAATAGCAAAGAAGCTGGTAATGAGTTGATTATTCACAAATAAACCTTGGGATAAATAAATTCTACAATATCAACGATTCGGATTCAAAGGCATTCCCTATAACCTTTAAACTCATTTTCCTTGTAGATTTTGTTTTATCAGGGAACAAGCTTTACAGAAGCAAACATTATTTAAGAATCTGTTATACGTGCTACCACAAAAATACTGTAAACGACTAATCACTCGATTCACAAAAAAAAAAAAAAAAAATGTATACTAATCACTCGAATTAAACATCGGTGATGGAATATAAGGTCATTATAAAACTAGCCATTTTTTTTAAATCTTGGCTTCGCTTCCACAGTATTAAAACTTGATTTTTCTATGGCTAACACAACTCTCTGAAGCTTCGGTTCTGCTGAGTGCGCCCCTTGATTTTGGCCAATCTGCATGATTGTTTGACAAAAAGTGAATAGATCGATGAATTTTCACTGGGTAACAACGTAAAATCATCTCCAAACTCCTCTATTCCTGTGACTAGGAATTGCCAGACTAAAGCACCTGCTCCAGACCTCTTTTTCTTGGCAGATTTGTAGATTATATTTAAAATGGTTTTATACATCATTTCTCTCTCAGATGTTGAGAAGTTCTTGTTCATATCTGACCAGCCATATTCAGAGAACAAGACGGGATGCTTCAATATTTTGTCACCATCTTCCATGTGAGAAAGCATCCACTTGGACACAAACTTCAGTTGGTCTTCAAATACTTGATCATGAAACCTACATAATAAATATATATATATATATATATACATATAAAAGAATCAGCGGTACAGGGTCACGGTAAAAAGAGAACAGTACGTGACATCATGAGAAACTTTGGATGTATATTTCAGAATTCAAATCAGGACGCCAACCATAAAGGGCAAAAATATAATTTTCAATAGAACTCTCTTTAAGACAGTTGATCACTTAAAACGAAATCAAAAGAAACTTAAAGCCAACATCCTCCACGGTGGACCTTCCAGGTCGCAGTGCTCGGGAACTAATAGTTCTAAAAGTAAGTTCCATTTATATCTCTGTGACTTATAGCAATACCCAAACTACAGATTTAGAAATCATACAAAGCTTACCATTGGTCAGGATAAATATGAACTGATGTGAAATCAATATTTGAGGCTTTGGAATTGCGAATAAAATCAGATCCGAGTTTTGATGCCCACTCCTCAGGGTTGACAGTCAACCTTTTTGGGTCATTAGGACCATAAAAACCCTCGAGCCCAACAGTCACCAGGTGGTTCTTGTCAATCGCTTTGACAAAAGTTGACATTTCTTCTATCCATTCCTGCAATTCCAAGTCAATTAAGGTATGCCTGGATATCCACGCAAGCAGCAGCTAAACTATTCTTATTCTACTCCTTTTCCAAACCACAGCATGAAAGTAAAGGCTCCATTGTTCACTAGTTACTTTGAATTTATATGGAACAGTAAAAGCTAAATATTAATAGACTTTAAATACTCATGTTACAGGCTTAAAACCATTTTGCCTTCTGTTCTATAATCATCTTGTGTTAGGACATTCAAATTGATTCATAACGGTCTCAGAAAAATGGGTATGCAATTACTGAACAGTAATCCTTAATCTCAAATTTAGCGTAGCACTTGTCAGGAAGCTTCTGCTGTCATGAGGCAATAACCAGGAAAGTGTTCACAGAGATCATAAGAATTTTTCACTAAACCATGAAATTGAGGAAAGAAAAATAGAAAAGTGAACTACTTTCTCCAACAAGCATGAACCAATCATGTTACAACACGCAATTACTAAAAAAGGGGGGAATGATCAAGATTAAGTTTTAACTTCAAATTAGTATTTAATATTTGATGATTCATCTAGAAATACTCAAGGTCAAAAGAGGTTTAAACTTAAAACTCAGATATAGCACTTACTTGAAGAGTGTCACCTGAAGGATCAGACATGCAACGAGGCTCATTAATCAACTCCCAACCAAATATGATGGGATCATTTCTATATTCAATTCCAGTGATAGTATTTTTCCTTGTCAGGACAGTCTGCAGAAAAAATGCTAACGAAACTGAGTTTATGTAAAGCACAGTCTCAACTCTCAAGATTTGGAAACAATGATCCAAAATTTGGATGTCCAGCCAAATAAGAAGCAGTGAGAACCGGTGATGCAATTAGCATGAAATGGAAGACCATGGATAATATCCTTTTTGACTTGTTTGAGACAGGAGATACAATCTTCATGATTCAGCACTACTTTATTATTAGGAGAAATTTGGATGGTTCAGCATTTAGTGCAATGATAGAAAATTTCTAGTTCAAGATACCATTACCCGGCTAAACTTCTGAACACTTGACAATATGGTTCAGTTCTGAGAAAAATGAGTAAGCTATAAGTGCCACCCATTTGCCAAACAACAGGAATAGCCAGCAGAGAGAAACATGCAATCTACTTGACATGGTTTCTAATTCTATACAATTTTTCATGACACAAATTATCATTGGCAAATGACAAGAAAAGGCATTTCTTTTGACACAAAACGTGGTCCTTTTCAGCCAAAACTAAACACAATAACATTGATAATAAGAACTTAGTTACCATGGTTTACACCTCTGGATTACAAATAAGAAAAACCATCAGGGTTGACATTATATTCCAAACAAATGAATGCTCGATGCATGCACAGGCGTGGAAATATGTTGCATGTTCAAAAAGGGGGGGGGATCTTGTCTCGTTCCACCCCTGCACATACTGCCCAACTCCCCCCTCCCCCAAGTCAATAAGAAAAGAATAACGGACAGGTCCAATACCTTGATATAGTTCTTGAAATAATTACGTATGGATGGGTCAAAGAAGAAAGAATCATTAGACGAGCTTAACCCAATCCCTTCTTGCCATGCCCAATTGACATACTGGGTCTTCCCGCCATATGGTTGCAAGTTATTAACCAAGCTAAGAAGCAGCCTTATTCCATGTTGCTTTGCTTCTGCTATGACAAAATCCAAAGCCTGCGAACCATTCTCAGCAAAGTTTTGATTAATCAGAAAATAATGTTAACTTTCTTACATGGGCCCAAATAATCACCAGCATCGCAATAGAAAGCATTTCTCATTTTCTACCAGTATCAAATATGAATCTCCACAGCAACTATCATAGATTTCTATAACACAAATGCACGTCCAGAAAATCTGCAAAATGTAAGCATGTGTTGCATCCCTAATAAACATTTTGATTTTGGCACATTGCCCCAAAACCAGTTTTGACTGAAAACCCAACAATTTTGGGGACAACATCCAGGAATTCAGTTGGTGGATTAAGGATAATTAATCTACTGCGGAGGAGCAAGAAAGATGAATAAACGCAACTCCAGAACATTTCATGTTTACTCATCCGGCAATTGGAAACAGAGGCATAAATAAAATAATGATAAAAGATCCTAAAATTTTTTCCTCCCCGTATTCCATCGCACTGATGTTTTGCCTTCTCAGGAACAAACTACGGTCTCTCCATTAACATGATTACATCATTTGGCTCTGAAACAACACCCTCAATCTACACAAACTGTACGCATAGCATGATTAATTTACACAAACTGAAAGTAGGGGATGAAGGAATTAACAGCCACAAAAAAAAAAAAAACAGAGAGACAACCTCAATCTGGTTACTGACATCAACCCTATTAAAAAAAGGCACCAAAACACGAAGAGGACAAATTCTAGAAGCAGCATACAACAGAAGTATGAGATCATGACACACACACACACACACACACGAAAAGAACATTACCTTAAAAACTTGTTCATTGAACTGACCAGGGGAAGTCTGAAGGGCATTGTAATCGCCGTCATTGAATGCCCAAGTTCTACAAACGCTTAGACCCATCTTCGCGCCGTTTTGCAGTATTTCCCCGACTCTGTGTCTGGAAAATTCGTCAACAGATTGAGCCATTAACCAGTAAGAATTCCACCCGTTTATGTAG